AGAGATCTGCCTGCCTCTGCCTCCCAAGTGCTGGGATTAAAGGCATACGCCACCACGCCCAGCCTGGGTCACATTGGCTTTTTTTTCTTAAAAAATTAAAATTAATAATAATTATTTTTTGGGAGGAGTATGCACATTCTATGCTGTATGTATTGAGGTCAAGGGACAATTTTGTGGACTTGGTTCTCTCCGACTTTTACCTGGGTTCTGAGGCTTGCACTCAGTACTTACCAGGCTTGCACTGCAAGCACCTTTATGCACTGAGACATCTTGCTGCCCAGAGTTTTAAAATTAATCGTGAAATCTTTTTCTTTGTTTCTTGTATGTATAAGAATCATGCCAAATCCACTATTATGAAACATTTGTCCTATATTTTCTTTTTTTTTAGGTCTTTGATTTTAATGTTTTTTATACAATTTGGTAACTTCATATGATTACATAAAGGCACATGGATATCCAGTTTTCTCAGCACTAATCGTTGAAAAGGTGGTCCTCTTCATAGAGAATGGTCTTGACTTCCATGTCAAAAATCATTTTAAGGTTTATTTCTGGGCCGTCTGTCTTAGACCACTGTCAGTTTTATTGCCAGCATCACAGTTTTGAGTGCCGTAGCTTTGGAGTGTTTTAAACAGGAAGTGTGGGTCCTTCAACTTTGTTAGGTTTTTCAAGATTGTTTTGGCTATTTCCGTGAGATTCCCTGTGAATTGTAAGATGGGTTTTCTTTTTTGAAAAAAGTTTTCTTAGCATTAAATCTTTAGATCACGTTCATAAAGTTTTAAAGCTTCCAATCTATGAATATAGATTTCTCTTTCTGTCTTAATTTTTTTCTAAATGCTTGATAATTTTCATTGTGCATTTTTCCAGCTTTTTGATTAAATTAATTCCTACATATTTTATTCTGCTATTGTAAGTGGAACTATTTTAATTTCCTATACAGATTAATCATTGTTTTCATTGTTGGTGTATAGAAATTTTTTTTTTTAAAAGCTGGCCATGGTGGTTCATACCTTTAATCCCAACGCTCGGCAAGGCCAACCTGATCTACATAGTGAGTTCAGACCAGCTGGGGCTACAGGGAGAACCTGACTCAAAAAACAGAAAAAAAAATGTGTGCGTGTGTGTGTGTGTGTCAGTGTCAGTGACACAACTGTCCCAACTTGTGGGAATCAGTTCTCTCCATCTACTGTATGGGTCCTAAGGATCAAACTCAGGTTCTTGGTCTTAGTAGCAAGCACCTCTACCCACTGAACCATGTCACTGGCTGGCCCTTTTTTGTTTCATTTTGTTATGGCTATACTGGAATTTGTTGTGTGAACCAAGCTGGCCTCAAGCTTAGAGCTATCCTCCTGTCTCTGCCTCTGCCTCCCAAGTGTTAAAATTAAAAGGGGTACACCACCATGCCCAGTAGTACTGTTGGCTTTTGTAGGTTGATTTTATATCCTGCTGTGTGTTATGTTTTGAATTCATATGTGTGTTCAGCTTTATTTTGGTGGTGGTTTCAGAGTTTCTGGACATTAGATCATGTCATCTTTTTTTTCTTCAATGCATTTTTTCATTGAATTTTTGTGCATTTCATACAAAATATCTGATAGCCCCAGCTGGCCTGGAACTTGCTTTGTAGACCAGGCTGGCCTCGAACTCACAGAGATCCGCCTGCCTCTACCTGTCAAGTGCTGGGATTAAAACTTTGTCCTTAAACTTCATCCCTAGCAAGGTGGTATAACCTATGAACAGAGATCAGAGATCATTTTCCTTACTTCCTAATTTGGATGCCGTTTATTTCTTTCCCTTATCTAATTTCTCTTGGTCAGAACTTCCAATACTATATTTTCTTTAAAAAAATTTTTTTTATATCTGTTTTCATTTTATGTGTCTGCATGTACTGCCTGCATGTGGGTAAATGTACCCATGTTGTGCAGTGCCCGAGGATAGAAGAGGCTGTCAGATTCTCTGGAACTGGAGTTACAGACAGTTGTTAGCTGCCATGTGGGTGCTGGGATTCGAACCTGGGTCTTCTGTAAGAACAGTCAGTGTTCTTAACCGCTGAGCCATTTCTCCAGCCCCATATTTTCTAGAAGAGGAAAAGTGAATTCTCCCTGGTCAACCAGTCCTTTCCTGATATTAATTCTTCCTTGTGCGCTTG